CTTTCAGAATGACAAAGATCCTAAAAACACACAAGGACAAATGTTGGCTAAGATGTGGAGAAAAGGGAACACTTATCTGCGACTGGTATGAGTATGAGTAAAAACTGGTAAAGCCAGTCTGGAAATCAGTGTGGAGATTCCTCAAAAAGCTTGAAATTAATCGATCATATGATGCAGTCATACCACTCTTAGGCATATACCTCAAAGGCTCATATCTTATGACAGAAATACCTGTTCATCCATGCTCATTGCTGCCCTTTTCATAATAGCCAGAAATTGTAAACAACCTAGATGTCCATCAACTTATGAATGAATAATAAAGGTATGGTAAGTACATAAATACAATGGCTATTAACAGTGCCAGACAGGAGAAACCTTACTTTGAATTGTTGGCCAGTATAGTTCAAGAGACTCCCAGACTATTGCCACAGCCCTTGATGGCCTGCCTCCCAGAACTTGAAGGTAAGACCTTACTACTAAAGACAGAACATACTTCTGACACAGGATTTAGACCAAGGACCTGAAACCACTTCCCTTGAAGGCTAGCTCTCATAGATTTGGAGAGTGCTCTTAAGGTGCCAAGGGAAAACATCAATCAATGCAGAGGGCATTGGATCCCCTGGAACCAGAGTTAAGGATGATTGTTACCTTCCATGTGCATGCTGGGAACAGAACCTGGATCCTCTGCAAGAGCAGCCAGTGCTCTTAACTGCTGAGTCATCTCTCTTCAGCTCCTCCTTAAGTTTCTTTTGTCAAGTATTTCATCACAGCAATGAGAAAAATATATCTACTCATGTATCATTTTTCAAAAGGGATCATAAGTACAGGGAAGACACGGTGATGTAGGTAGCCCAGGGATGTGTTACAAGAATTTTAGATGGCATATTTTAAATTCCTTCTGTCTAAGGTCACATGGATACCAAATGGTATCCAACACTATGAAGATAATGTATCTATTTTTGTTCAGAAGGCTGGGCAATGTTTCTGTAATCTCATATGGGACATCCTTGCCTCTGGAACACTCATGAGCTGAGGTCCAAGGCTGCTTTACTCCTTTCTATCTGTGTGTTTATCAGTTCTTTTTAGTTAGACAAGAGTATATTTTAAAATGTTAGCCTTTACATAAAAGTTATTCTGTAAGACTCTTTTGACCAATGAAAGTTTTCATTACAAACTGTAACCCTAATATGAAAAGAACATGTTTTGTTGCAAACTTATGTTAAATCTTTTTGCTCAGAGCCCATGCTATTCAGCTATGGTGAACTTGTTCTGCCTGCTCACCAAAGGCTATTTACACGACCAACAACTGGGTTAATAACATTTAGTAATTCAAGAAAAGTTAAATTTATGTTTCTTCTAAGCAAATGTAATGTTATGCTGTTTTACCTATTGCATGAACACAATACAAAGTCACAAGTACATACATTAAACTGATTATAATTATGAAATAAATTCCTACTTCTTTTGTGTGGAAAAATTCCCAGGGTTGACTCAGTTTCAACTAACATGTCAGAGCTTATGCTTACTGCCATAATCGATATTCATTGCCAGGTATGAACTAAAAGGCTTAATTCTTAGCTCCCCAGAACTCCTGCATTCGTCCCCCAGTGAAAGACATCAAACAAAATAAACAAAGGGGGAAAGTAGAAATAAGAGTTGGCTTCTTATTCTAAATTTAAAATACCAATGTGGATAACTATAAAAATTATGTTCCTTTCTATGTCTTGGTCACAATGGAAATTGATTCTGTGCCCCCTTTAAAATGATCAATTTGCATATTTAAATGGATTAGTTTCAGATATCTGTGTTGTCTGGGATTGTTCACACATTGTTTACTTTTCTGTGTTCCTCTGATAAGTAATATTCTGTGCACTCACCTAGCTTTCCTAAAGCTTTCCTATGAGTCCAAGGAGGAGAGAAAGGAGGAGCAGGGGAGGTGGAAAGAGAGGAGGGTGGTGAAGTGAAGGAAAAGGAAGAAAAGACTGGGAGGTGTGATCTACTTTCCATCGTTACCGAATCATTATCTCTGCACAAACACCTCATCTCTCACATATTTAATCTTTTTTAAGTTAAGACACGCACTAGCTGTTAATAATCACCACAGGCAATCTGGTCTTGGGTGTATTATATACTTTCTTATAGGAGTTACAGTTGTGGGACTGGAGAGATGGATCAGTGCTTAAGAAGCACTGGCTGATCTTGCATTGGCCCCTGGTTTGATTCCCAGCACCCAAAATGCAACCAGAAACCATCCCAAACTCCAGTTCCAGGGGATCCAATGCCCTCAGACCTCTGTGTACATTGCATTGTAGGGGTACCCTTACATACATGCAGGCAATATACTCATACATATAAAATAAAAATAACATTTTTTTAAAAAAAGAGTTACAGTTGTTTTAAACACATAGCATATCCTAATGACCCATTAATTTACCTATAGTTTACATGGACTGTGACATACAAAACACTGAATTTATCTACATCTATGAACAGTTCCTAAAACCATTCTTTAAAATGTACTTTTAAAAGTACATTGTCATTAAACTACTGAGAAACAAAGAATATATATTATTCTACCTCAATTACAGACAGGAAACTGAAAAGTAAAATGAAGTATTTCACTTACATTTCCACAGGAAAAAAACATACTGATAAAAGGAATATATTCTTTTTGATGCCCAGACCTGCGTTAATCAACTGACGCCTCATTCATTTTCTCTCTCTGCCTCCCCGCTTCCTCAAAAATTTTTCATTCTACCCAGATATATTTGTTTGACTCAAGAAATATATTCAGGTAACTAATCTCCAGCCCAGCTTTTGAGAAACTTATTTTAAACTTCAGCCAAATACGCTGTTTTAATTACAGAAGACGCGGCAGTTTAATAACCCGCTCCGCAACCCACTGCTCAAAAGCTTGCGGCAGCAGGACTCTGATGTCAGGTTCCAAATGCAAAGGTTCCCATGTGCATTGTTATTCCCACTGCAGCAGCACTGCCCCAATAATGGAGTCTGCAGAATAAAGCCGCAGGGGCACTGAGTGAGTAGAATCTACAGAGTCCTGCCCAAACAGAGAAGCCAGTTCAGTCAGGGTTCCATCAGTGGCTCCCTGCCCAATTTCCCTGACAAAAGGAGTTAAGAACGAAAAAGGCAAGTGTGCGGGGTAAGAAAACACTGGCTGAGGTAATTGGGGCACCCCTGCAGTGGGTCTGTCTAAAAGACTCCCAGATTCTGTAAGTCTTAACGGTTGGGAGAAAAGAAAGTCATTGACTGGTGCCTACAGATGTGAAGGAAAAGTAAAGGCAAGAGTAGTTAACATTAAAAGTTCTAGCCAGGGAACCAGAAAAAGGTCAGATGGGGCCAAAAATGTCAAAAGTATTTAGGAACTCTTATCTAATCCCTAAAAGATTTTAGGGTTACCTTCTCAGAGGGGGGAATGTTAGAATAGCAAAAAGCCCCATCAAAAACTAAAGAGTACACGAAGTTGTCAGGAAAAAGTAATAGGGAGAAATGGGAGGAGTTGGAGGGGAGGGAGTGGGCATGGATTCGATCAAAACACCTTACATGCATGTATGAAATTCTCTATAAAATTTTTTTTAAGTAAAAAAACAAAAAGACACTGGCTGCTTAAATACAAGTATAAACAGGTCTCAACTGAATGGGCATCAGCGCTCTGACTGTGTTAGATCTAGTTGCCCATTCTGGAGCAATTCAAATATTATGATTAAAGATTTAGTATCTGAAGAATTGTCCGAGTTCTGGGGGATGGAGAGATGGCTCAGCAGTTTAGAGCACTGGCTGAAGACAGGGGTTTGAGTCCTAAGCTCCCACATGGTGGCTAACAGAGTCCCTAACTCCAGTTCCAGAGCCCTCTTCTGTCCTACAGGGCCTTGCAAGACAAAGGGAGAAATTATACACATGCAGTCAATACACGCACACATAAAATTAAGAAATAAGAAAAAAGAATTATCTGAGTTCTTCGCAGAAAAATATACACAAAGTATATTTAAAAATATCAGCAACCACATCGTGACATTGCAACATAGGCGTGCTACTATAATTTAAGGCTAATTGGAATTTCTATTATTTGAAAATTTACTATTTGCAGCTGTCACTATTTGTGACAGGCAATTTTACATAAACTAGGTTTTACAAAATAAATACTAAATATTCAAGTTTTTCTGTGTGGGTGATGCTAGCAATTGAACCAAGACCACTACACATGCTATGTAAGCACTATTACAATTACCAGCATACACATCCTTGCCAATGTTTAATTTTTATCTTTCTCTATATCCTATAAATATAGTAATTAAGACATTTTTATTTTTTGCCATAGCACATTCAAAGTTATATACAACTGACCATTGAAAAAACCTGGGCATTGTCCTGTTGAATACCTTTGCTAGCTGTCATTTTCTTCAAAGTTTCATTGCTACATGAAACATCCACAGAAAAATCATGATTCTTATATGAGCAAGGCAGCACTGGTTTTTACTGGAACGCTTTTGAGCAACATCACAGTTCCTGGATCCAGATCATCATTGTATTGTCAGTGTCTATCTACCCCTAGAAACGACCACAGAGAGTAGGGGCCAAGGCATGCTGCAGTAAAGTAATCTAATGACTCTGCATGTCTGCATGAAGAATTATAAAGACATTGAATGATAGGCAAGTTTCATGTTTAAAAAGCAAACTCTAAATCATTATAGGAACATTGAAAGAAAATGTTTTTGTTAAGAAAAATAATTATCTATGATGTTACTTTTAATGGAAAAACCAGTAGTAAGTGAAGATTTTCATGAAATTTGAAATGATTTTTAAAAAATCATTTAGCATTACTTACATTTAAACTTGGAGTAAACTGGGGAGGAAAGGATTAATGTAAGTAATACAAAAAACACAAAGGAAAAGTCTTTAAGCATGAAAATTTTCTCTCTCCTATGAATATATAAAGAGTATATTGTAAAAATATAAGAATAAACATGAAATTAAACTTTTACCTTTAGCTTGTATTTTTCTCTCAGGTTTTCCATGCTTTTCAGTCTTTTCTTTGAACATTTCTAGGAAAACATAAAATACATAATTTTAAAAATTGAAAAACTATACAATCTAAACTGTACTGATAACATAATTTTATTTTCATTATGGCTTTAGCATACTCGATAAAAATTTCCAGAGCAAAGATACATCTCTTTCAAAAGTGGCTGCAAATTTTTAGGTTCATAGTTGAATT